TGCCTTATCACCGTCCACGCAACCGAGCTCAGCTGGCTCAGACCGCCCTATCCCTAAGGCCACCAGGAGGTTGTATAGGCAGGATCTCGATCAGCACTTGCACGAACAACAGTCTTCCGCAATGCATAGACTTGAGTCCCTGAACAAACCGCGTTCAATCGCGGGTGGCCCCGCAATACGAAGTCTTCAGCAGTCGAGGAGCGCTACCGGTCTGAATGATCGCTATCAACGTGGAGGACCGCTGTACGCATCCAATGGGTTCCGCGCTGCTAGTCCACCTCCGTCTGGCACGCCATCTAGAATGGAAGAATTCGACTTGGGTCTCGTCCCTGATCAAGCTGTTAGCAATCTCGCGGACTCTGGATATGGCAGATCTCCTCCACTGAGCCCACCCATGAGCCCAAGCCATGATCCGAACAACCATGATACGACCTTTTTGGCCGCGCTGGAGCCTAATGACCTCGGCAAGGCTACTGCTTCTGGGGCTTTCAAAAAACCGAAATTGCAATACGACGATCGGCAGTACAAGGAAAGACAGATTCAGTTACTCGAAGGCCGGAATACGCCCAGTCCACAGCTCATACGGCCCTTTTCCCCACAGGCGCTCTCCATTGACGAGCAGACAACCGGCCGCAGCCGCAATAATTCCATCGGAAGCACCTTTTCAAGGACCGAGTCAGTCAAACAGCCATGGGAGCACCACAGAGAAGACCGTGTGCTGAGGGCTGTTCCAGAAAGAGGGAGCAGAGGCAGCTCACCTCCCGTCGACGAGCATCACACCAATACAACTATGGAGCAAAGCTTCCTGGCTGGAAGGAGCAGCAGCGATGTTGCTGAAAGCGAATCAGAGGCCGAATCAAATTTCCCGATACCATCATCTAAATCAAATCCCCAAAGCTTTTCACATCTTATGTCGCAGGCAAAGCCCGTCTCGCTTGATCAACAGCTCAACTTCGATCCTGAAGCTAATCATCTCACGCCGCCCGCCGAAGAAAGCGCCTTTGATAGTCGGAGTCACCTGAGTGAATCAACGATAACCCAGCCTAAGGAAAACAATGAACCGAATGGGATTGACGCTGACTCTCCGACATTGGGCCCAGTGCGTGTTGCGAATGGACTGAGTGGCCTCGTACACGCACATCTGCGTAATGACAGTGGCCAATCTTCTATATATCCTGAGGACTCTCCCAGACCAGACAGATTTCCCGTCGAGGTTCGCCAAAGCATATTTGGTCATGAATCGGCGCTTAACCATTCACGACAAGGATCAAAGGATGACAGTGGTGTAAATGGCGAATACTGGGTCAAGGAGAGAAGGGGGTCTGAGCAAAGTAGTATCGTGGCGCCACCACCGCTGTCTTTTGCCGCTCGACATATACTGCAACAGGCAACGGCGTTAAGGGATAATCAACAAAATCCGAAGGCGCAGCAAGTGCTTACCAACGACAAAGCGCAGCGGGTCTTGGGTGGTGAAGCTCCTCGGTCCAGCCATTCTCGAGATAACTCAACCTCCTGGCAAGACCAGCTGAAGGCTCACCACGCACGTGTTGGAAGCACCGAGACGCAACAAGAGCGTGAAGGTCTTGCCACTGAGATGGCGGCAAGGAGACGCAGAGTTCAAGACAATCTCAAGACTTATGTTGAGGATAACAGTAGATCTCCCAGCCCAGCGCCCGGTGTTCGGCCTCAAGAAGATGGCCTCGCAAGGCCAAGACATCAATTTGGAATATTGAAAAAGACCTCCAGAGGCTCTCTGGTTGGAAAGCAAGAGCGGCCATCAAAGGCCATGAAGATGCTGGGAATCAGACCAGGAGAGGCCGGCCATGATGCACCACAGCCTCCGCCAGATATGTTCATGGGACGCGGCCAATTCCATGACCGGGCCATGCCACGAGGCAAGAAAACTTCGCCACCACCAAGACGACCTCAAGATCTCCGTCAGCATTCAGATAATAGCCCGGGCTCCGGACAACGATTGCCCAACAGTGGCCGAAGTCAGGAGAATCTCGCTCAAAGGATATCGTCACCCTCATCGAAGTCAGGCTCTTCATACTCTGATAGCTCCGAGAAACGACTTGAGTCAGGGAAAGATAGCGACCCATTGCCGCGCGTGGATCGGAATCGTATCAATGGATCCCATCCAGTCACGGCTGCTACAGGATACGAGCCAAGAGAGGTGCAGAATGCCGCAAGACCCGCAGATGGAGTGGTGGATAGCATGCCCCGCAGTGGCTTGCCGCCAGCCGAAAGATCACAGTCAGCAATGTCTCGACACCATCCGATGTCGCCCACAGAGCGATCACAGTCTGCAATGGGAGGCCGTCTTCGAAGCAACAGCAAGCCTGTCACTCCATCATATTTCGAGCCACGTGCCGCGCCACCGGGCACTCCGTTCATGATCAACCCCAAGCAATCTTCTCGTGTGCCTCCGCCGGGCACTCCCTACATGATCAATCCTAAGACGCCCTCCCGTCTTCCAACAGTACATCCAAATCGGCCTCGCGCAGAATCTACAGCCACATCGAACGAGAGTCGGCCTTCTACCTCGTCCATGACCTCCTCTCCGTCAACATTGATCCCGTCTCAGAGCTCTCCCAGTTTCTCATACAACCGACCTGGGAATCCCCGCAAACGCTCTGTAAACAAGCAAGACATATCCGAACCCACCTTCGTCTCCTGCACCTCTTCCGTCGATACCGTCAATCTGCCACCAGGCGCCAGCCTTTCCAACGGTATGGATGCACCCAGCCCCACTCGCGGCCCACCACCTCCCATTCCCGTCCGCGACTCTCGCCGAAAGCGCACTCAAACATTCCTCCAAGCCCTGGGTCGGACCGAAAAGCCCCTCGAAACGACCTCCACGGAGGCAACGCCTAGTCATCGAGAAGATGACCCCTACGAGGAGTGCAGCACGTTCTCAGCAGACGATGAACCAACTGCATCAAGCAAGATGAGGCAAAGACTAAGGAAAACAAGTAGTGAGGGAGGCTTGAACGCGAAGGCTGCTAGGCAGGCAGCGCTGCAAGCGCCGAGTCCGGCTGTGCCCAATTTTGAGGTTCAGAGTCCCGGTTTGGAGCAGCATTTCCCTTATCAAGCGCAAAAGGATGTGCCCGCGAGCGCTGTGATGTTTTGAAAATGCACGAGACGTGGTGCTGAAAGCATTTCGTCGCCCTAGATTGGAGAGTTGCGTCATTTCCTCGGACATGTTTTGTGGATTTCTTGTTGGCAGGGATCTGAAGAGACGTTCGCTACGACTTTAATTGACTAGAAAGAATCTCGCAAGGGACGCAAGCTAGTGCAGCATTTTGACCGTGCGATTTCGATACCATCGTTGCGAGCATATTGGAGAAAGGCGATTCGGGCATTTGTTCGCGACGGATATACCTTATGTACGACCAAGCGTGTGTTTCTACCACCTCACTGTTTGAATGGTTGAGGGAAGGCTTCTCCTCGTGCTCGATCAGCTGGATTGATCTTGAGCTCACCCCCTGTTTGCACCTTTGGTGCTTTTTCTGTATATACCTACATTACTACTTCTCAGAGAGATACGATACGATAGCATGGATGGATGAGATGGTCTTGGCAACAATGGATCATGCATTTGAAAACACTCTATTCTTCTTCTTCCCCTTCTTCCCCTTCTCCTTCTCCTTCCCCTTCTTCTTCTTCTCCTTCTCCTTCTCCTTCTTCTTCTTCTTCTTCTTCTCCTTCTTCTTCTCCTCCTTCCCCTTCTCCTTCTTCTCCTTCTCCTTCTCCTTCTCCTTCTCCTTCTCCTTCTCCTTCTCCTTCTCCTTCTCCTTCTTCTCCTTCTCCTTCTCCTTCTCCTCCTCCTCCTTCTTCTCCTCCTTCTTCTCCTCCTTCTTCTCCTCTTTCTCCTCCTTCTCCTCCTTCTCCTTCTCCTTCTCCTTCTCCTCCTCCTCCTTCTCCTCCTCCCTCCTCCTCCTCCTCCCTCCTCCTTCTCCTTCTCCTTCTCCTTCTCCTCCTCCTCCTTCTCCTTCACATCATCCACACAAACGATAAATACATCGCTCGGCTTACGTTCAATCAATCCTTTCTCCCTCCCCAGGCTAAAGTCGTGCCTACTGAACCAGAATGATCAAATCAAGTGCTCGCCGAGCCGGCACAGGATGAATCTCACCATCAAAACATGGCTACTCAACTAGATCTAGATTGTGCGCGGTCATTCCATCTCCATTCCGGTATGAAATTCCAAGTCCCCATTGCTCGAGGTCCTATTCTCGCTTGTGAAGGTCGATTTCGCACCTTCACGATTGTCTACATACACACATACACACATCCATCCATCACACCGCTCCGTTCAATTTCAATTCTCTCCACAGGCCCGCATGAAGCGGGCCCTGCGATGAGAAAGAAGTCTCCAGTCGTCACTGCCGGTCTGTCTAATGCTAACGACCCGAAGGAAGTATTGAGATGCAAGAGGCCGACAGGCAGTGATGGCATGAAGACCAGAGGTCTTGACGACATCGCTGTCTCTTTCCTCGGTTGAGCCCCCAGTGTCCAAAAAGTGTCTAGAGGAGAAGGAGCGATCAGTAGTACTTTGCGCCATTCTAGCAGGTAATGGTCGCAGTCGAAGCAACGCAGTTCTTCATAACCTCAGACATGTAGTCACAATCAAGCGCGCAAGGCATAGTGGAAGAGAGTCTATCTATGCATGCTTTTAGCAATTCGAGCGCATCGTGCATCGCCATAGCAATGCCCATGGGCAAGCGAGGGAGCATTGGATTTGGAGCCATCTATGCAAACGGGGTATCGTCGCAAGCGCCGTACCTATGCGTCCTGTAAGCTTACGCCAGATATGATAACTTGCTCAACATGAGGGTAAAGAACGAAAAGTCTCTTCTGCTCGTCTTGTCGTGTCCAGCCTCTTCATAGTCATAATACACACCGCCACCATACACCATAGCCATTCCATCTTGATCGTATCCCATAACAATGCGACAAAGCGAGATCTTGTTTGTAGAGAATACAAGTGGGCTGATTCAGTCAATCATGACGGGGTCGTTATTGGAACCGGCTGCGAGGTTGCGGGCAACCTCTGCGCGTCTCTCCTCCGTCAATGGTGCCATTTTGTACGATGTCGGCCTCTGAGGCCTCGGGTCGAAGGTTGCTGACGAATCAGCAGGTGTTTCGTGAAGAGGAGTAATTTGGTATGTTGGGTTTGTACCTGAGGTCGAGGCAAGAGGCACAGGTCGTGTCGGCAGGTCGTTCAAACGAGGACCATTTCTTTTTGCTGTACCAGAAGATGTGGGCATCGTCGCTGCAGACGCCAATGCCGATGTTCTTGCACTGTACTGTGCGACCAATTTCCTTTTAGTTCCCTTGCCAATCTTAGGGGGAATTCCTTCCATATCAGGATATTGTTGCTTGAGTAGGGCGGCCCTGTTCCTCTGCTTTTCATCGTTCGTGGCCTTGATGCTCTTCGCAGCTTGGGTGGTAGGTACTGAACTCGCATCTTTGGGTCCTTCCTTGGTGGCTGAGTGATTGGTTGCACTCTGCGTGTGACGGAGAATGAGCTTCTTCCTCAGACCTGGAGTTATGCTGTTAGGTATATTCTGCATAGTTGGGAACTTCTTTCGCAAAGCAGTAGCTCTGGCCGCGCTGCTTTGTTCCTTTCTAAAATCCTTCACATCTGCTGGCGTCGAGGTAGAGACATTTGCAGCTTTCTTCGAGGTTGGAGTTGAACCTGTGTGTTTAGCCTTTTTTCTTGATTTTGCATTGGAGGGGTGATCGGAATGGGGAGGTTCGGCTACGACACTGCTTATCGACGTCGCATCTCCAGTATTGTGCATGTTTGCGGTTGCGGTGCCTTGCATCCCACTCGATGGCCAAACGTTGCCATACCATTGCACGTCTGCTCCGATATGATCATCGGACATGTCTCTAGTTTAGAGACATCTCAGACAACGTCACGAGCCAAGGAGGGAGAGTGCTTACACAACGTCTTTTTCTGGGGTTCCCCATCGCAGCCTATACAAGCGTCGCAGATGGTCTCGCTGCCACACAAAAGACTCGTAATCACCTCCAAGCGACCAATCGAGGAGACTTGGACGGTTAGGAGTTTTCATTGCTTCCAGTATTTCAAGGTGCGCCTGGGCGAAACGATGAAATATCTGCATTACATTCTTGGAGCCACCTGAGATGTCATTGTCAGGCTTGTTCGGGTCAATAATGGCAAGACGATCAGCTTTGTTTGCATGATACACAGAGCCTCGGAGGTTAGGACGCTGATAGGCGATCTGCACACGATATGTTAAAAGACATTGGATCGTACATATGATATCACATACCTTGTCGAAGTATCCAGGCGGATCCATTTTAATGCCCGTGCGCGTAGTATCAAGTTGGTTGCCATAGAAATCTAGGAACTCGATCAGGATCTCCCCCAGGTTTTGCTCGGGAATCAGCTCTCCGCTCTGTACGCGAGGCATGTTCTGCAGAAGGCTTGTCACCAAACACGTCACAGAAAAGCCACCGAGGCCACCGTGCTGCACTTCGTTCATACCTCGCATCATCAAAAATTGCTTGATGATCATAACAAGTAGTGGCATCGCTGGGAATTGCTTCTTCCAGAGGGCGAATGTATCATTGGCTATGACTCCGGTGTTATTCTCAAAGGACACATCTACCTTGATCATAGTAATCTGATCGACGAATTTGACCAATGGTACCTTGGCGCCAACGATGACTTCCACACTGCCTTGCTGAGCTATATCGGAAGACTTGATGAAATCACCGAAGCGAAACAATTGTTTTTTGGTCTGGCAAACAACCTTCTGTCCCGAGGATCGAAAGCTATTGGAAATCACGACAACATCCATGTCGGCATTAGGGAGGTATAAGCCAGCGGCAAAGGACCCGAAGGAGTGAACATTGCAATTGGGAATCTGGCTGCTGACGACATTTTGTAGGCGGGTCAATAATTCCTGGCGAACAATTTGCTCGAATTTTCGAGGCCGAACGAATTCGTAGAAGTCGCAGATTTCCTTGTGGAGCCTGTATACATTCGTTAGGCTTTTCTGTAAAATGACTCCTGCTAATACTGACCTGAAACCTGCATTTGCTGTTATTGTGTCCGATCGACGGAGCCAAGGAAGTGGATCCGTGTCTTGGCCTGGCACCCACTCGGAGAGAACGGACCCATTTGCTTGTCCGAAACCAGCCTTCTTACGAGGTCGAATCTTTTCACCCTTGATCTCGTCGTTATGGGTCCTCTTGCGATTCCCCAATGCACCGTCATCGTATGGGAGGGAGGCAGATGAATTGCCTCCCTTTGGATGTTCTAGCGATATGGTCCCGCGTGACAGCTGTGTATCAAGACTAATTTCCTCTGAGACGAGGGGGCCAGTCTCAAAAAAGGTAGGCGGCGGACCCAGGCTGCTGGCGGTCTCGGCTTTGCTATGGGTCCCGGGAGCATCTTCCGAGGCTTGGCCGTGAAGGTTTTCAAGATGACTGAACTGCTGACGAGGTCCTGATGGTGCTCCAGGCACACCAATGCCGTAATCATCTTGGTCAACAGGGCTTGGGCTCGGAGGCACCTCATCGCGAATCGAAATTTTATCATCTTCAAACCCGAAAGAGATGAAGTCGTCATTAGCAGCCACTTGATTATGTTGTGATGCCTTTGCACCGGTATGGAGGTCGGATTTGCGTATAAGCTTCACAACGTCTTTTCTTTTGCGCGCCTCTTCATCGACTGGAGGCAGAACGGTGTATGGATCTGGGTTTGACCACTTGGGCTCACTGTCTCCATCAGTGCCGTGACGCATGCCCGAGCCAACAGTTCTGCGCTTTTTTGGCGGTTCAACTGATCCGTCGCCGTTATGCTCTGCGTTGTCTGCGTCTGAGTCAGACTCGTCCATGGGCTCATCATCGCTGTCAGAGATATCCTCTGCAGGCATATATCTCCTGATGCTAGCTTGCTCCTCTGTCATGCCAAGTAATTCTTCCGAGCCTGTCTCATTGCGTTGTCGAAGCAATGGGCGATCAGATGGAGCGACGTAATTGCCGTAATTGCCACGTCCACGATGGAAGTTGTGACCTCCTCGAGGGCGGTTTAGATTCCTATTATCCCTATGTTGATCTCTCGGTCTCGGCCGCCTGTTTTCCTGCATTGCATATGGTCTGGGCCCATTGTTTCTGTTGTAGTCTGACTCCCGGGGATACTGGGGCGCACCATCATTGTTCCGAAACGTAAACCCCGTCTGTGGGTATGTGTTGAAGCCCTGAGGCCTCCAATCATTGTTGCGGTATGAGTCGTATGGCGGGGATGGGCGGGGGGGAAGAGGAGGCATGTCGCGTGGTGGAGGAGGTGGAGGGAGATTGTGGTACGAGGCCGGTTGGTGACCGTAGTTTGGGCGATAGGATGACATGGTCCACTTGGTCTTCAATTGAAGAAGGTAGAACGGATGTTGTGACAGTGATGACCTTCCTTGCTGTTAAAGTATGACTTAGTTGCACCAAAGGCTTTATTAGTGCGGCAATAGAGGATACTTCAATAGGCAGCGTCGGAGTCTCGAGGATGGATCTCGTATCCTGGAAGTCTTCAGAATCGAGGTTGAAGCTTCAGTGACTGGCTCACGAGTCTAGTCTAGCTGGCTCTTCAGTAGCGAGTGATGCAAGCCACCGACACTACTCAGTGAGAGTAAAGAAGAATGAGAAAGTCACGTACTCGCTCATGACCGTACGATGCGAGAGCGTGTTGTGTGAAGTTGCGGGGTGAAAGGTCGACTCGGTTGCAAAATCTTGCAGGGCGTCATTTGAAGATGCCATTAGTGGTCCCCGCTAACCGCTTTCCACCACCTTTCAGCCTTATCAATCTCTCGGTCTCGGCAAAGTGAAGGAAGGTGCCAATGAACATTCCCTGCCCCTTTCACGCGATGGATCAGAGCGAAGAAGATATTGAGAACAATGTCAGTAGACGGTCAAACACGAATACATCACTCAAAGTTGATATACGCCCAGGACTGAGTCAGCGTCTGTGCCGAGTTGGCTAATCTAATTAATCAGAGACGGAGCTGTTGTTGACTCTACTATCTGACAGGGACCCTTCAATAATTTGGTGCATGAAAGCTGATCTATTCATAGTCTTTTTTTTTCAGCATAATCGACCATGTCGTTAGGAAGATTGATCCCAAGCGACCCGTTCGAGGCATAACCCTGCCAATGCCGCAACAGTTCAACGGACAGCAGCAATACGGTTTTCATGTTTCCATGCCCTCGAAGCATATAAATCGATCGAGAGTTCCTTCTCCTTGACAAAGAACCCTCATAGCCGGCGGCTATCCCGAGAAAGACATCTCAAGGGAAGACGCGGCAACAGTCCCCTTCTTTCCTGCCGTCTTTAACCCTTCCTGGAAGCCACCAGTGTATACTACGTTTTGTCCAAGGCTTGCGAGATGAGATATCCGTCACAGCCAGTCGATCTCCTCCCGTAGCTTCGTAGATCCCATTTCTTGCCTTCACTTCATCCAGTAAATCCCCGATGCTTGCCGCAAGGATGAGACAACAGCATTGTGATATCGAGCGAAGATTTTTAACACTGATAGAACAGCCCAGAAACCCATAATTGGCAAGAAAAAGACTTTTATCTGGCACACACGGCACTCTACAACGCTTAACCAGGGTATGAGAGCCTGCTTCGCGGTGGAAAGGACAAGATGGAGTCGTGGCTGAGCACGCCTCTGCTCGAGGTCTCTGAGGCAGCAGGGAAGTCGCGCATGGTTGGAAAGAAGTTGTACTCTGGTGACGGAAACAGGCACGGCGAAGGGGCCGATGGTGTTAGGTTCATGTCGTTGGGAGAAACCGATGCAAGAGCGACGGTTCTCATCTCGCCAAAGACACTGCCCGGGGAGACGTATGCTGAATCGTTATGAGGATATTGCGAACGGCTATCGTTGGGAAAGGACCGAATAGGTTCGAAAGACGAGGTCAGGGAAGACTGCCGTTACATTAGGATGCTGCCAATATTATACCATCGTATGAGGCAGCAAAAATTCGTCACAGCCAAAGAATGGAGAGGGACCATGCTGTTGCTTACCTTCAAAGGGGAGATCTCAGCCAGGTCTCCGAAATCATACCAACGATTGATATTGTCAGCGAAAAGGCCACGACCCTCGGAGCTCGGCAGCGAGTAGGGGATATGAGCAGCACCTTCGAGCAGCGTGTCGATGGATATGTTGCCCATTGTTGCTGGCTGTTGGCCCGTGCTGTTGTCAAATGCTAGCGGCTGCGTTTGTGCCCTTGAGACCAGGCCTGGAGATGGCGTCGAGGCGGGCACCTGACTTTCGCGTTCATTCTTATGGGTTTTCCGCTCTCTTTCCGATTGTTGGCGGTTCATCCGGTCCGCAGTCCGCTTATTCTTTGTGCCCTTTGGCCGCCCGATCCGTTTGGAGACGCTGTAGATGCAGTCATGATCAGAACCCCGACATCCTTGACATGGCGTACCACCAGAGCACTTCATTTTAGCTTGGTGGCATATGTCGCACGCGGTCCGCAGCTTCTTTGACAGATGCTTGTTTGTCTCTTGATCCTGTGATGTCGACATACTGGCGTGTTTGAGGGAGGAAACCGTATCTGGGCGAACAGGAAATGATGACTCGACGACAAAACGATGTTCTCGATCTGGGCTACTCCAATCAAGAACATAGGACAAACGCCCAACTCCACGCAAGCAAGTTCAAATACTCTGCAGAACGGTTCTCGCTTTACTTGGTGTTTGATGTTGTATTCAATGTGGGTGAACGGTGATAAAACAAGATGGGAGGAAGCTTCTAGAGATTAGGCGGTACCTGCCGCTGGATAAGTGTGCATCGGGCGGACCGTTAAGAATGCAGGGTTTTGGCACAGACTATCTCGTGTCCTATCACTGATCATGCCGTCAGCTTAACGGGCGATTTTTTCGACATTCCATAAGGTTCCGGGAAACGTCTGATCGTTGAGAGATAGGAAGATAATGCCAGCGAGCCAGGTACGAGATGAGATACCTCCTTCGTTTTGCCTCATCTCGCGTCATTCTAGGCATCAAAACAGCATTCAGGACAAAAGTTGCCAAAGTCAAAGGATACCACTGTGCCAAGCGGCAAGCCCATGTCCCAGGGTGCACTTGGGGGAAGGCCCGTTCCTGCACGTTGCGCCCGCATGACGCTAGTGCACGCTTTAACGCTGATTGTTGATGTTTAACGAGAGTAATACCAATTGGTTCCCCATTGGGCCTATCATATCCTCAACGAGCTTAGCAGACCCGCTGCCAATATGCAGCAAGGTATGAGAAATTCGGTACTGTCAAGTCCAAGCGGTAAACAAGGAAGTGCAGTCGACTTCAACGAGGCGTTTGTGGCGAAATGAGCATCTGAAGAATCTTCAAAGCCGTGTGGTGATGATCACTTGCATGAAACTATATATGTTCAGCTTGATGTGAAATGCAGAAGACAAAAAGAGCAAAAGACCCGTTCGCTAAAGGAGCAAAACGAGAGAGTGTGATGTCACACCGGCTTGATATGGTATGTAAAAAAAACTGAATTGCAATGATTAGTCGTCATCGAGAGGATTCCGGAACCGGGATGTCTGTGGCTATCACAATTCTAGTGTTCCCAGGATCTTTTCCCCAAAAGTCAAAACTGATAATTGAAATAAATCAGGCAGCTCATTAACATACAGCGTGTCCGTGACCGTCATGGACTTGCTGTCGCAGCAATGGCAGCTGGGCTGTGGGCAAATGTTGAGCATTTGGAAGCTGAAATCAACATGTCGAAAGATGAAAGGGAAGCATTTTGTGAGTAGAAGAGAAGTGTATATTGACAAGAACATATATATCGTAGGACACAAAACTCCCATACCAACGCACCAAGATGCTCCACATCACCTCTCAAGCTCTATAAAGTGCTTCCAAACCAACTCTCCCAACCAACCACCAAGACCTCTCCTCTCCCTCTTCTGCGCCTCATCCTCCTTCCCCTGTCTCAGATCCTTCTCTTCCACCAACACAACACAAATCTGCCCCCCTTGCCCCTTTCCCCGCCATAACAACCCCACACAAAGCACCTGCAATCCGGCAAACGCTGCCAAAATCTTCATTTGCAAATCATACCCCTCTGCAAACTTCTCCAGGACCAACCTCTGCATATCCAGTGGGAATGACTTGATGGCCTCCGTACTCTGCAGCACTGCTGCCAAATGTTCGGAGCCGATTGAGTGGGAGAGATGCGAGGTGAGGTAGCTGTTCATGACCGCCGAAGCGAGCGCGAGGCCGAGGGCGCCGCCAAAGACGCGGAACTGGAGGAGCGCACCGCTGGAGATTGCCAAGTCGCGATGCTCGACGACGTGCGGTGGGATGACGAGGAGCATGCCCCACACCATGCCTATACCGAACCCGGAGAGGACTTCCCGGCCGTAGATGACGGATGGAGCAGGCGTCAAAATGTCATTCGAGGACAGCGTAGAGAAGAGCGAGAGACCGATGAGTTGAACGATTGAGCCTGCGAAGACGAGGTAGATGGGTGCTATGCGCGTGCGCATTGCGAAGACGTTGATCAGGATGCAGCCGAGTGCGATCATGAAGTTGAAAGGGACTAGACGGATGCCGGCGCCGAGGGGGGAGATGCCGTTGACGGTTTGAAGACGCTGGGGTATGTCGATTACGATGATGTTGTAGGGAATACCGGAGAGGAGGGAGAGGATCAAGGTACCGATCCACGCCCTGTTGAAGAGGAAGCGCCACGGGAAGATTGGCTCTGGGCGCCAACCGTCCCCGGTGACCATGCGCTCGTTCAGCAGGAATAGCAAGCCGAGCACCCCGGATAGCACAAAGAGCGCGATGGCCGTTTTAGAGTGCCATGAGAATTCGTTCGGTGCTTCGAGGAGGACTGTCACAAGGAGCAAGGTAGCTCCCAGAAGGAGAAATGCACCGGACAGATCTAGTCTGGCTAGTGACGCCTTTGAGATCTTCTGCCGGAACCCAGGAGTGACGTAGAATGGCTGGCCTTGATACGGGAAATTCGCGGGTACAGAGAGGTAGAGGAGTATAATGGTGACCAAGCCGGCGGGCACACTTCCCTCAATGTCAGTCCAAAGGCTTGAACAAGTGATGATGGAATATGCTCACTTCAATAAAAACACCCATCTCCAAGTCGCCTTCTCAGCGACACCACCGCCAATGACTGGTCCGGCCAAACTGCCCAGTGCGCTTGCTGTGGCCAGCTGAGCGGCAATGGAAGGATACTGGCTTTTAGGTACCATCTCGTAAGCGATCGTCAAAGCCATTGAGACGCAACCTGCGGCTCCGATACCTTGGAAAACACGGTTTACAATCAGTTGTGTCATCGTCTGTGATGCGCCGCAACCTGCGGAGAACATTATGAAGATGAGAGTAGTGGCCAGCGTTGCTTGTTTGCGGCCGAAGATGTCGCTGATTTTGCCCCAGATGATGATCATGCCTGTTCGGCTTAATTAGAAATCGGCCGTCATACACCCGTTAGCCATGCGTGATCTTACTAGTATATGTGATTAAATAGCCCGTTACAACCCATCCTCCCTGCTTAAAGCTATGCAAGTCGTCGGTGATCGATATCAGAGACGTCCCGACGATTGAGACTTCGATGTTGACAAGGAAGAACAAAAGGGCCACGCTGAAGGGTCGTTAGCGGAGCCACAACAAAGGTCCAAAGAACCTGACCTCAGAGACAAGAAGTGCAGCCGCCAACCTCTTAGGTAGGTCATGCTTTCTGCACCTAGTGCCTTTTCGACAAGTGACCCTTCGGACGTCTGGAGTGAGGTAGGTGTAGCGGTCCTCTCAGTAACGGTGACCTCTGCAGCGTCTAATTTCCCCCCGACTAATCGCTCGGACATGTGTAATGATGCCGGTGTAGCAGTGCCTTCGGTAACCTCCATGGCCTCTGACTTTCCCATCTCTGTCATCGTAACTCTTCAGCTGCTCCAGCCACAACCGCGTAGATAGGTTCTAAAATGGAGAGCCTGCGGTCATTTTCTGATATCAACAAACAATGATGACTATGGCCGGCCGAAAACAATGTCCAGTCAGGCCAAGACCGCGATTCGCAAGCAATAGAGCCCAGCTTTGACGAAGTTTGAGAGGAGAAACGGAGGTATGCGACGATTGAGCAAATATTAATGGTTCAAGGTCAGCTTGAAGTGGAGAGGGGATATGTTGATATTAGAACTGATAAGCGAATATGGGGCGGAGGCGGGCACAGCACAACTCTTCTCACGCAGGTCATACATAAGTACTGGGGAATTTATTATGGAATCGGTGAAAGGATCAACAGGCAAAAGTAAGCAACGGCGGCACATGTTACAAGAAGGTTGTATCATTATGCAAGATTACAGATTACCAAAAATCGACAAGAAGTAGGCGTAGTCGGACAGAGCCCAGATGCTGCGAACAGAGTTGGTCAGGCTTGCCGAGAGGGGCCCCTTCACACCTTTGCAGGACCTTTGCTTGATCATCACTGCAGTTTGAGATGCCGTTACCATTTTACCATGCAGTAGGAAGGAGAATGGACGAGGGCGAAGATCCATGCCTAGGACGACAAAGAGTCAAATAGTGTTGTATCTTGGTCGGCTTGGCGAGGTTGGAGAGGCGTATGAAACGCTAGGTAGTGTCATGTTCAAGATCTATAGGGCTGAGTCTCAAAGAGCAAAGTAAGCGATGTTCTATTATTAGCATTGCACACCAGGGTTGTAATAACCAATTCCCAAGATGGCCAGGCCTACATCTGTATTTGCTTTGGCTCTCAAAGCCTTTGTGGCGTGGCATTGACGTAAGGCTGAGGAAACAACAAATCGCATGACTTCTCACATGCAAAAGCCCAGGAATTAGTAGAATCCTAACCAGCTCCGCCCCCAAACGCAACTGCCGACATTGCTGCATGTATATCAGACCAACAATAGTATCGTGAAACCTATTTCTTACGCGTTCCAGAAAGTGGACTCTACAGTAGTAAAGTAACGTCATGTGGTTCGATTGGAATTCATCAATCGATCAGACTCCAATCGCACACAAGGATGGCACGACACCCTCTACATTCATGTTCCCCCTCATACCAGACAACATCCCTGACACCACCTCAAGCCAAGCTTTGAATCAACGAAGCAGCACTGGTGTGGTCCCTCTGCGTCGCAGTGATGCCGCTTGCATCATTTAGAAAGCAACTCCTACCCAGGTCTTGCGGATTCTCATGGTAGTCTAGATAGAAAGCCATCCCATAACAGGCTGCATTCGCGGTTTGGGTCCCATTGCTAGTCTGGTAGTAGTTGAAACTCGCACAAGTCTTCATGCAGTCCTCGAAAAAGGAGACAAAGACCCCAAGAAAGTCAGCACCGTCTAGGTCGGAGTTGCAGTAGACATTGAATTCGGTATGTGTGCCAATTGTGGAGACGTAGGTTTTGCTTAGATTATCGCAGTCGCTCGTCGGCAGGGTAGACTCGGTGGCGTTGGTAGCTGCAGATATGGAGTTGGTTGTGGGACATGAGGAGTTGTCGGAGCTTTGAGGGTAGGAAGTGATAGGTTAGGCCATGGTGCTGGCATTGCTGAACTTGGTCAGCTGAATATCCGATTAAGAGAGGTAGATGGTCACATACCAATGCCCTCACTTCGCGGCCAGCGAACCTCCTACACCCGCTGCGACAATAGCAAGCATCGCGACTACGGCAAAGCAGCGCTCAAGATAAAGGTGGTAGGTCGAAGGCCGCAAAAACGCTTGCTGGGCGGACCTGGCTCTGATGCCATTGGTATCTGCGACGTCTGTGCGCCACTTGGCTGACGGTAGTAGGCATACTTCTCACTCTCATCTGGCTTCTGGTAGGAAATAGGCGACTCGTTGCGTCTGTCAAGCTCGAGACCATTCATGTTTGTAGTGCTCGCCGTTCATGTTGCTATCGATAAGTGGCTGGCGAGAAGGCGACAAGAGAGGAAGGGGCGCCATCTTGTGGGGAACGGACCAGCATAGTTTATCGCTGTATGTTACGCTGAGGCGCTGGCGAAGGAGCGAAGGACTGAAGCTATCTTGAAGTTCGCCTCCGAATTGTTGATTGTATGGCGGCTGAGAGGGCTGCTGGTGGGAGGGAGGACTAGTTGTTAGTGCCTGGTCCACGCTCCTTCTTGGATTCTACCTACCCAAAGTTCATCTTCGCAACGTCCAGGGGGCTCTGGCTCGGGTGAATTGATATAGAAAATCAAGAGGACATGATATCATGAGGAGATCTGATTAGAGAAGAACATGAACGGGTGGAGCGAACTTTTGATGTCTTGGCAAGCTAATCCATTTTCTGTTAGCGCCTCGCTTTCGCACTGTTGATCGCTTTCCAATTGAACATCGACAATACATACCTACAGTCATGGAATAGCAACTAGCATGATGCGCAGAGTTGGTAGTCAGATAACACTGATAGTTGGGAGAGAATGAGGGATGTCTTACACATTTTTCGGTACATACCCAATACAGGCAATATTGACGCCGGTTCATAGCCCGAGAGAGGCTAACATCAGTGGGAAGAGTGTGTGAACATAAAGCATGGAGACGAAGTCACAGAGCGGTCGATGAGTTGTTTTCGTTCATTTTGTACCCTCAATCGTTCAAGGCAAGCGCTGTAACGCTGACAATTATGGACGGTTAAATTTTCCAAGTCACCATCAACAAGCACCTTCTGTCCGAAAGAACCTTGCATATCATAGTTCAAATTCTTACCAAGCAAGCGTGAATCTGGACAATGAAGGGCGATGCACTTTTTAACACGCTCTATCGTCTCAATCAAGCGAAAGATCGGTTCTGGTAAATGAATTAAGGACGGGTAGCAACCGATCAGATGTCGAGTTCGAAAGGCATCTAATTATTGTGTAGGGGGCGTAGGTAAAGTCTTCAAGCATTGAACGGATTATGCGAGGTTGATTAGTAGCATCCGAGGAAATGGGCGAAATTTTAATGGATCTGTAGCGAACCGCAGTATCTCTAATTCAGCACGAACTCAGGCCACTTTCGCAGATGAATCCTATAACATCTGGCCGTGAACGTCTCATTCAGTTCGGAAGACAGTCGGACGAAGACGTTCTGTCTGCTGTCTTTCAACGGACTGTATCCATCCTTCCGCTGCTGGCCTAGAAATAGGAGCGCAAGGAAACGGAGCACAGTGCCGGACCTGATGCAGCTGTGTTAAGAGTACGTTCAATGAGAGGGCTACAAATGAAAGAGATAAGCTTAAGGAGCTATATTCGATGGGCAGGCGGGGCTCTTGCTCCAGAGTTTCGGAAGTATTGTCGATCTTGCACAAAAGCGAGAAATCAAACGTAAACACTCGCCAATCAGAGCTGATGTAATGACAGTAAATGTCGCCTGAACCCATATTCAAATTTGAAGAATGATTCTTGATCAAGAATCGTTCTTCAACCTAGTGACCTGCCCCAGCAAACCAAAAGCTGCCCTTCTCTCGCCCTTCGATGATCCCAACGTATCTTCACATCACCATACTCCTTCACAAGCTCTCCATACCTGACTCTTTGTTTCAAGTATCTTTCTGATTTCCTTGCAGCCACTGTGTGGCCTTCATCGGCGAGGACTTGACCAAGCGCTATGTTTCGGGTGGCCGCGGCTATATCGCTGAAAGTACTTTCCATTGTGACTCCGTTCTGCTGGAGGGCGTATAGGCCTGCAGCGAGACAGCAGAGGGTTGCTAACAGCCCAAGGCCGTAGCTAAGCCAGAGGAACTCTGGGTTGTACTCGTAGAGGATCTCCGCCGTAGGTGAGCGGCATGTTGTGTTGCACGTGGGTGCATTTGCAGCAATAATACTAAGCGTGATGTTCGAGAGGAGTTCGGGTATTCCATTTATGAAATTATGGCTCACTGACCAATAGAAGGCACTAGAGTTCCCAAATTCGTTGTCGGATGAATTAGGATAGGCATTTGCTTAGATCCCATCTAGCACTGTCATGTTCACGAGATTGGAGAATCTAATCTGGGTGTCTGAGAGTTCTCCGAAGTCTCTCCGTAAATGCTGCCTGCGAGGCTGGAAAATAGTGCTGTTGCTGGGTCCAGATACTGCGCCTCTGTGGGTCCAGTGAGGTCAATAGGACCGACGATACCCATTGGAGCGGATGAAACTATCGTCGTATTGATAGATGGAATCCCGTTTTCGAAAACTACGTTCAGAGAGTACGTCGTGTTTTGAAAGGTGCACGCCAATGTCCGCCAGGCTTGGTTGACCTGCGCAGGTTCGAAACCAATCATCGATGAGACTGTGATTGGACTGACGCTTTCGTTGTTCAGGTATTGTATCCATATCCTTGAGAAAACTGAGGTATAGATATCATCCTCGGCAGCTGTGTAAATTGGACACGTTTGCTCAAGGGAATCAGGGCTACTAGGCGAGTTCCAGTTGCGCGGCAGTTCGTCCACCCTTGCAGAAGTGTTAAGTTGGAAAGTTAATTAAGAAGCATTGTATCGAGGCTGAGAAATAATCATGTAGTTCGGATACGGCTCACAGTCAATTCCAGGCCCGTAGAAAACATGCTGATAGGTATAGTCCGCAGGGCGATGTAAAGGGAGCTATGCCATTGGCAAGGAGGACATCCATAACAATGTTCCCCAGTTCGCTTTGTTGCCCGCCTTGACCGAATGTGGGGATCGTACATGGCAGTGACTGCTTGACACCATCTTGGTTTACCTCGACGGATAAAGTTCCAGGTACAACGACAGGCAGAGCTGGCGACAACCAGGTGATAGTCGCAAGCGCCATGGCGACTGGGACGCATCGAAAAAAATCGAAGAATAGGAATCCTAGAACATCGCTTCGTAGATTGAGCAGCTTGTCCATTGACTGAATCTTGATATGATGTCGCCGGAAACTGTACCACAAGGTATGTTGAAAGGCCAGACCGACCGCCAGAGTCCAACAAGTCTTGACAATCAACGCATCACCGTTTAATATGCGATTTACCCAGTTTTGAGAGTCTGATGAAACCTGCTTGCCGTCCAAGAAGTTGAACACCGAGTGATGACCCAATGCAAGCATAAACCCAAAGACCACTAGGCCGAATAGCAAAGAGGTCGATCTCCACATTGGGCTCTCTGGCGAAAGGTGGCTTTCGGTTTTAGTGTCTGCTTTGGCCCGTGTCCGCTCTTTCATTTGCATTATCGTCTGGAACTTGTTCAAGGATGGTCCACGGTGCCTCGGCAATGTATCTTCGATAACCATGGACCGTGTCTCTCCTGCTAGACAATCTACCGGTTCGGGTGGTGCCGAGGCCGGTGAGCAGTTCGCTGCCCTATCATAAGCCAACCATGCCTGGGATTCGTCTTGGCCATGGGACAGAGGCGGATAGGTGTCCCTCCCGACAGGAGACACAGATCCCGAGAGTGGAGGGACACCCTCGCTCTGTGGCTGTTGATCACAATTTGCCATAGTGCTGAATCAGGGTCATGCAACGGTTGAGTGCCAGTAGTGCACATCAATTCAGACGGTTGAACATGTGGGAATCGAGGCATTTGTATGAGTACGTAGAGTGAAGCTCAGCCTCGACTCTCTGCGCAACGCTGCATGACGCTAGACAATGATCTCAAACGACTCCCCTGTGCTTTGCACCTCCATTTCAGCTTGCCGGGCTTCTGCATAGTATTCAACATGGCTATCTCCGTGGGGGTCTCAGATAACCATGGGGTAGAGCCGACTTCCACAGTATAGTTAAGATGCTTAGACTGGTAGTAGCTTGGTGGACGTATCTGAATTTGGGCTGTAAACCTAGCAGCTCTGCATCAGACCGATGCCCGCTTCTGCAAGACAAGCTAGAATTGTAGCGAAGCAGTTGTCTGCTGTTTGCCGCTTGGTAGCTTCGAGCCCGACACTGTGCAGTGGACCATGCAGCTCGGACATCGCAATGATTGGATCGTTCAATTACGGTCATGGCAGTCAAGCCGGGGATCGTCATCATTGATGTGGTGTGGTTAAAGGACAGGGCGTCGTGATGGCCTAGAGATACGCCGGGGGCCGCTCCGACACTCCCTTATCGCTGCCGGCCCGTCGCAGCGGTGGGTCCTCAAGGCACAACAATTTCAACCGTCGATGACTCGAACGGAATGCCCAGGAAATGACAATATTACTCCGCTCGTGGGTAATGCGTAGGCCGCTGGCGTTGACCTTAGAAGGGAAGAGCCAATTACGATGCCGTTGAGCAAGGTCGTTGCTTCGACAGCCCATTCATGGTCGAAATCTTGTGTATGACGATACACGGTATGTACGATATAAAGAGATCTCGCGTCTACGAGAGTGGGTCTCCTGAGAAGCCCGCACCCAACGCTTGCACAGATTCTAGTTTCGAACTAGTTAGTCATTATCTTTCCCTCTCATTTTATTGAGCTCTGTATCCACCACAAGCATCTCGTCCGAAGCTCATACAAGCTTGAGCTCATACCGAATCTTATTTAGCCTCTGCTGCTCTTGCATGTACTTGAGCTTCTTCTTGAGACCCGAGAATAAAATCTTCCGGCTAGGGGTATCAGGGTCTGTCCTACAATCCAAAGTCTCTATGTGCTCGACCAGTTCACTGATCCTGAAAGATCTACTAGACAGGTTTAGCAATGTAATTTAAAAGAATGATTTAAAACGAAAAGGGTAATAATTTAATAGGCTAATCATATAGAGTAGTTATTAGCCTCGTCGATTATCTATAAATTAAATTACTATTTTATAATATAAAATAGTAATTTAATTATAAAGTTATCTTATACGGCGTTAACGTAACTACTTATTTAAATATAATAAAAATAAAGAAATAATCTATTTATCTATCTAGATATTATTATATATATCTCTTATTCTTATAGTATATAATAACTACGAGCCATTTAATTAATTACTTAGTTAGTACTATCTATCTCGCCAGCTTATTACTTTACTTAGCTAGTTACTTAGCTAGTTACTTACTTAATTACTTACTTAACTACTTAATCTAATATTCTATAAAAGAAGAAGTAATATAGTATAGAGAATATTATAGAGATAGTTAATAGCAGTAGTAATATAATAGATCTACTCTTTATAATCTTATATTAACTTAATACTTAATAAGAGAAGAAATTACTATAATAGATAAATGCGGAGAATACTATAGAGAAATTAAGCGATAATAAGGCCCTTAGTATTAAGAATATAAGCCTACTCTCTAAAATTTTACGTTATATACTCTCTACGATCTTATATTAAATCGCTATTTAATAAGCGAAGAATATTACTATAATTTAGTTTACTATCTCCGCGTATTTAGATAATATTATATTATAATATATCATTATAATAAGTATATAAGAGAAGAATCTACTACGTCGATTATAATTAATTAAATCTCTATAAATAAGAGTTATCTATCGAACGATATATATTTAAATAAATTAAGATTATTCGATATCTTATCTCAACAGCTATTTCAGCTATTTAAACTATCGCAGATATAAGGATATCTTAGTTATTTCAGCTACTTAAGCTACCGCAGCCGTAAGAATATCTTAGTAATTTCAGCTATTAAAGCTATCGCAGCCATAAGAATATCTCAACTATCGTAGATATGGGGATATTTTAACTATTTCATCTATAACTATCGTAGCTATAGAGAGGTCTTAACTATTCCACCTATTTAGACTATCGCAGCCATAGAGATCTCTTAATAATTTCATCTATTTGGGCTATCACAGCTATAAAGATCTCTCGATAATTTCAGCTGTTTAGGCTATCGTAATCATGTAAATATCTTAGCTATCGCAGCCATAAAGAGGTCTTAACTATTTTATCTATTTAGACTATCGCAGCTATAGAGATCTCTTAGTAATTTCACCTATTTAGGCTATTACAGTTATAGAGATCTCTCGATAATTTTAGCTATTTAGGCTATCGCAATTATATGAATATCTTAGCTATCGCAGCTATAAAGAGATCTTAACTATTCCACTTATTTGGGCTATCGTAGCTATAGAGATGTCTTAGTAATTCTAGCTATTTAGACTATCGTAGCTATAGAGATATCTTAGCTATATCACCTATTTAGACTATCGTAACTTTAGAGATATCTCGATTACTTTAGCTATCGAGGCTACCGCAGCCATAAAGATATCTTAGTTATTTTAGCTATTTAGACTATCGCAGTTATAGGGGGTTTTTCTTTTTAATTATTCTAGCTAATTAAGCTATCTCGTAATAGTAGAACTATAGATTAGTAGGTTTATTATAAGATTATAGCGTTAATAGCTATTTAATTAGTTATTCTATTAATATCCTTATTAGTACCCCTATTAATACCCTAATAAGGGGTTGAGAACAAATATCCAGTACGAGCTATATAGCCACCTATTTTATATCTGTTAACGGCTCTTTATTCGATGTCGTCTCTTTTAGAGTTATATCATTTTTCTTCTTCTTTTATAGTTGAGTCTATATAAATTAGCCTTTATTTAACTATTATAAGCACTATCCAACTATTATAAATATACTTTATACTCTTATATATTTCGTAATAGCCTCCGCCGCTATTATTAAGTCTAAAAAAGCGGCTAAATATATTACCCCCGCCTTTAAAATTATTAAAAAGATCTCTAACGTAGCTAATAAGATTAATAAAATCTTTAAGGCCAAAAAGGCTCTCAAGGCTACTAAGGTTAAAATACCTTCCCTCCGCGAGGATATTCTTATATACGATACGTTATCGGATATTATAAGCCCAAATTAGATAGATAAAACGCCCTTATCTACTATTAAAGTAGATCTTTAAGAATTAATAGCTTAACTATCTAAGATCTAAGAGAAGCGAAATAATCGCTATTTTTACGAGGGTAAAGTTTATAAATTATATCGCTACTACCGCCGCTATAGTCGTAATTATCGTTATCATTACTCGAATATATCGAATTCGAATTTATTTAACTCTAAATCGAATTAAGAAAAAAGAAGAGAGGTTCTCTTTCGTTATATAAAAGATAAGAAGCTCTTTCTTAATATTGCTAAAAGATTTCGAAGTATAAATATTAAGTACTTTAAATAAATCTTCTTCGAGATCTTTAAAACTAAAAATTTCGCTAAATTAGTCTATATATATACTATCTTAGCTAAGGAGAATAAGAATATTAATAATCATAATTATATAATATACTACTTTTATATATACTCGATAGTCGCTAGTCGCTTTATATATGTTAGCGTGAAGAAAGACTTAAATAAGGCTCTTTATGCGTATATTATTTATCTACTATAGTTATCTATTATCTATAAATTTAACTTTATCCTCGCTTATTATCTTATCTTTATTATTATATATATTTAGAATAATTAAGACGATTCTAAGGTCTAAAAAGCGAACGATTAGAGTTATAGAGATTTTCTTATATTTAAAGAGACTTATATAGGTAATAGTAAGCTAAATCCCGATACGTCTAGCCCTAGTAAGATTGCTATTAAAGAAATTAGAATTTATAAGAATTTTAATAGAGATAGCTATTTTCGCGAGCGCTATATTTATTTATATATCTATATAATTTATTAGTAAAATCATTCGATAGATAAGTACTTTAAGGCCTTAAATCTAGCTATAAGTAGTTTTAATTATTTACTATTAGATAATTATATTATTAAGATAAAATAACTTCTAGAATATTCGCAGATGCCCTAATCGCTATAGTATATATCTGAGAGGTTTTTATACGCGCTATATAACTTATTAAACTCGGATTTACTCTATTAAGAATTATTAATAGTTAATAATTGATTTAAATAGTTAAACGATTACTTGAATCTAATATTTATTAAGATTATTTCGGCTATTCTTCGAAAGGGCGCTAAGATAGATTTTTAAGGCTATATCTTAGCTTATCGCAGCTAAAATTATCTATTAGTATATTAAACACCTTAAATACTATCGATAGATCTTTAAAAATAGCTCTAGTAGTATCATCTAACCGAGGTTAATTCTTAGAATAAGCCCTATTATATCTATTCGCCACTCGATTTAATATCGAAATATAATAGAGATTAAAGACGAATTTATAACCTCTTATTCTTATATGACTACTTAGTTAATAACGATATTTAGACGAAGTAAGATATATTAGAATATATTATATACGATAATATAGTAGTAGTATTGCTATAGAAAGGCCTAAGGGCTTAATTCGTTAAAAGAGATCTTAAAGACGCCTTTAGATATATACTTATTACTATATCGAATTAATAACTACTTAATTTTAATTATAATAAACGCTATTAAAAAGAATAATATTTATTATTCGAATTACATATATTATTATTTCTATTTAATCTCTTCGTAAAGGCCCTTATTTAAATCTTAATCGCGATTCTTCTATAGAAAATAGTGCTTTACTATCTAGACGATTTCTTTATAATCCTTTTATTAGATAATAATATAA